GGGAAAATTAAAAGCCTAATAGCAATTATGGAAAGTATTTTTCTCATAAACTCGGTATAAATGAGACTAAGATGGAAGTTGTTAGACATGCCAAAAATGGCAAATCTTTAGTCTGAATTAGACATTTATTGGGTTGAACAGGTTAACTGTTTTCAACTGTGAAAGAAATGGCCAAAATTAAATAAAGTTAATGAAATGGCAGGAGTACAGGTAGTCCCCGACTTATGACAGGATTTGTTCCCTCAACTCCGTGGTAAGTTGGTTCTGATGTAAGTCCAATATCTCATTTTTTTTTGTTTTAGTTTTCATTATTATTGCTTTTTATTATCAGTATCTTTACAAATCTGGTCTTTATATGTCTTTAGGGATTGGCATAAGAATGATAACATCAGCAAATTACGTGCTGCAACATTGTTTGTAGTACATATTACTAATGATAAGGTGTACCAAAAAAATGAACAGTCGTAAGTGCAGTTCGCTGTAACTCAAATGAGTCGGAAGTTGGGGACAACCTGTATATACTGAATGCTGTGTCTAAATGGCAAGGTATAATTAGAGATTTTATATTGTGTTTGGCTCCCTAGCACCAGCATTCCTTATAGCATGTAAGCTTTTGCACAAACAGTCTTTGGGTCTATTTTCAGGAAAGCATTCTGTACCAAAGTAGGAATGAGAATAAGTATTGAACCAGTCTCCATGTTCCTGATCAAATACAAAAAAAAAGATACAAAAGTGTTTTAGAAACTGAAAGACACAGGGCAAAACTGGTTATTTTTATTGGCATCAGTGCTTCCATTTGAGCACCCTGACGCTGCCATTTACAACTAAAAACCATCCCAAAGGATAAACTCAGCTCTTGTATCAGCCAAACGTCTGAAGATGTTCATAGTGCCTGCCATAATGCTGAATGTGGAGCATTATTCAGTGGCACTTGGTATTTTATAAGTCGGCTTAGGGTATTCTATGTTGTCTTTTGTCCACGGCAGGCTATTAACATTACAGACAATGTCTACAAGTTAAATCGTAAATTCTTGACTGGTTTCTCCACAACCCTCAGTATGTACTTAGTGATTGTCCTCAACCACTTATGTACACTTTTGTTAGATGCCAGCTATCATTCATTCGTTTTTCCATATATTCTTTAGGCATTTATTATGTAACTACTATGTACCAGCCACTTGTGTAAGGGCTTAGAATAAGGAGTGATGAACTCACCAACCAGATGGAGAGACATTCACATAACAAACATAGTTGATACAATTGATACATGGTATATTAAGGCTATCCACAAAGTAAGTAGGACTCCCGTGGGATTTCCATAAGGTTATGTGAGAGAATGAGGGAAAGCTTCAAAGAAGAAGTTGTATCTGAGCTGTATCTTGAGGAATGAATGGACTGTAAGTAGCCTGTTAGACAGAAAAGCGGGGCAACAACATTCCCAGCAGAAAGAACAGCAGACACAGCTGGTCAAGGAGGAGCGAAGGGCACAATGTCTTTAGGGAACAGTAACAAGATTCTTGCCTTCTATGTGGGAGACCCAAGCTCCATTTCTGGCCAATGCACCTCATGCACAGCCACCACCGGTCTGTCAGTGGAGGCTTGCATGTTGCTATGATAGTGAACAGAGGAACTTTCAAGCTAAGATAGACTAGGAAGAAATGCCAGTCCATATACTTCCAAAAGATCAGCCCATGAAAACCCTATGGATCACAATGGTGTTGATTCTGACAGCAGCTGACACGAAGAAGATCAGTGGGGTTGGAAGACTGAGGAATAGAGAAGAGAGAAGGGACCCAGGAGAAGACAGTGCAGAGTGGTCTTGTGTATCATGTTAAAGAGGTTAGGCTTTATGCTATTAGCCAATGTTTCTACAGATGTGATCTGAGGTCCACCTCAACCAGATTCACTTGACGATCTGCTCAAAATGCAGATTTCTGCCCCTTACATGAGAGGTGAAGCTCTAGAATCTGGGTCTTTAACAAGCACCCAGGTGACACTGATGCACACCACCTGAGCAGCCACCAAAGATTGAAACAAGGGGATGGTACAATCAGATTTGTATTTTAGAAATATGCTGTTAGAGCAAGCAAACAATCATGAAGAAGGTAAATTCACTGCTGCCAAGTGAGCATGAGACTTGTGTTTGCATGAGAATCACCTGCAGAACATGGAAAAATGCAGGCTTTTCACGCCCCACCCGAGACTTACTGAATTTGAACCAGGGTAGAGGAGGTTAGGATTTATGTCAGGTGGAACCAAACGAAATTGTCATTTTATATAGGTCAAAAAAGATCAAATATCAACAAATTCTCATAGTTCAACCTAATATTTTTAACAATTCTTCCAACGATATTGATGTACATCAAAGTCTGAGAATAGCTGATGAAATGGTGGCAGAGCTAAACGCTTTTCCCTTTTCATTAATTATGAGTATCGTTACTCACTTTGATTAAATTAACATGCAAAGATGGAAGTGACATAAGTTTATGTACCTAAAACGAATGCCATAAACAACCACCAATGCAGTAAGGTAGTGAATATAAGGATTTTAGAGCCACAAGGAACACTGGAGATTATTCAGTTCCTTTCCTACCTCCCAAAACAAGCTTATGCAGGATGAAACAGATACCTAAATGGAGAAGCAACCTGCCTGAGGTCATACTGAATGCTTTGTTCAATTCCTCAGTGATAGGTACTGTTCATTTTAATGGGTATTGAAATCATTATAACTAAAAAGCATTCAAGATTTAACTTATAGCATGCCAGCATTACATAAACCCTTCAAGAGGGGAGGAATAAAGCAAATACTCATGCATACCCATTTTAAAAATGAAACCAAATAAATTAGAACCTTGAACACTGCCTAGGAAGTAATGGATGCTTAATAATCATTCATTGAATGGTCTTTTAAAATAGGTTAAAGGAAGTATATTCACGTAAGGATTTTCTAAGGCAGTGTACAGGTTGTGAACTGAGTACAAATTTCCCACCTGCTAGCCAGTCTCAAGCGCCATTTAGTGCCCAGTCATGACCCCCATCCCAGCTATCGTCACATGCACCTTTCTTTCCACTGAAAATGCCCCGGTAGAGAGCAATACAAAGATCATGTCTGAGTTAAGTTAGACAACACATTTCATCCTAGGTGGGAGTGAAGCCTGAAAATCAGCACAGCCTTCAAAGCCCACCTAAATATGATTAATAGCTAATGTTTACTAATAGCTAATAAAAGTTATATTATTGCCATATAATAATAGTTTATGTTGTTAGCTACAGAATAACAACAAAGATAACAATGTTTTGTTGTTCTCTGTCGTCAAGTTGGCCCCCAACTCATGGCAACTTCATGTACAACGGAATAAAACGCTGCCCAGAAGGGTGGTGGCTGTGCATGAAGTACACTAACCAGAAATGAAACCCAGGTCTCCCACAAGGAAGGTAAGAATTCTACCAGTGAACCACCAATGCCCCCCCCCATAATGACAATAGCTAATAGTTAACTAAGGAGCCCTGGTGGCAGAGCAGTTAAGAGCTCAGCTGCTAATTGAAAGGTCCCAGTTCAAATCCACCAGCACTCTTGAGAAAAGATGTGGCAGACAGCTTCTGTAAAGATTACATACAGCCTAGGAAACTCTATGGGGAAGTTCTACTCTGTCCTACAGAGTTACCGTGAGTTGGAATCAACTCTAAGGCAACAGGTTTAAGCACTTGACATGCACTGACTCACTTAACCCTTTTAATAACCCCCTGATATAAGCACTATTATTATGACTCTGATTTTATAGATGATGATAGAGAAATTAAGTAACTTGCCCAAAATCACACAACTGAAAAGTGGCCAAGTTGAGACGTGAACCCAGACTGGAGTGCCAGCACTGGCACTCTAGGCCACTGAACTATATGACCTTTCAACAGCAAAACAAAAAGTACCAACAAGCTGGCCTCTTAGAGCAGACATCAGAATAACAAGTCAGGAAGATGGAATCTCTTGCAAAAATGATTTGATCCCAGTGTTTGCATCCATAAAGAATGAAATATCTTTGGTTGGGAAGGTCATGCACAAAATAAGACCCAGGAGATAAAAGGAGAAAGGCAAGAAGAACCAAGAAGAAATGATGAGCCATTCTCCTCTGCCTTGGTTTAGCATGGTTCTCCTTGTCTAAGAACTTTGGCTGATAAAATCCCAAACTTTAACTTTCTGAACAGAGTAGAATATTTTCTAAAGCAGCATCAAAGAAATCACCATACTTTATTTGCTCATTAAGGTACCATTAAAGAAAATACTTCCAGAAAGAAAAGTAAGGACAAAATATATTTCCCTAGCTGAAAACTTTAAAAGACCAACCCAGGATAGATCTTTATTAATAAGTAACTATGGCTTGAGGAACCTTCCCTCCCAACATTCCCTGTGGAAAAAACACTTCTGACAAGGAAGAGACCCCTCTGATCTAAGCCCCAAAGTGGGCCAGCGACCCTGACACCCCTCAATGACCCTAACAACGCAGGAAGAGGGAGAACCTTGGTTACCTGCACAATGTGAATAGTAAGTAAATGAAGAAAGACAAGTTTAGAAAACAAGATCTTAGAGGAGAAGCGAAGCTGATCTGGAAGGAAGAGCCCCGCTGGAACTGCTTTACATTCTCAGTCTGATTCCCTTAAACCTTGCTACATCTAGCTACGTCACCCCACAACACGGAACAAACACAGCAAAGCAATACAAGGGCAGAAAGTACGCAAAATAAAATGCGTAACGGAAGTTTATCCCCACGGAAAATACTCCAGGAATTCCCTACACAGCCCCGAGTAACAAAACCAAATACAAACAACAACATCAAACCCTTGGCAAGGCACAGGTAAACAACCCGGACTGAGCCCATCTCGTCCCACCTCGCCCTGCACTGGCATATCCAGGCGAAGGAAAATGCGGCCCCCTCCCATCAGAAACCGTCCTGGGTCCGGCCAAGGTCTAGCGACCACCGGAGCTAAACTTGCCCAACTCTTACCCAAGTCTTGAGATCCTGAGAGTCTGTGGCACAACCTTTACTCCCTGGTCTTCACCCAACGTCAGCGCAGAAACAAAATCTGTTCCAAACAGCGCAGTTAGTCTACAAGGAGCGTCCCAGAGGAGAGCAAGATTTGAGAGTTTTGGCTTAGGCGCAAAAGGCGCGGGAAAGGAGACAGGTCTCAACGCGTTTGCTGCCTCCCAGTTTTGCGCACCAGGAAAGTACTTGCTGCAAACTTGAAAGAGGTTTTCCCCGTCTGGCCCGAGATGCTGGAGGAGGAGGGGAGTAACTCGAGCCGGGGCCGGGATGCGAGCAGTTGCCGCTGCTGCAGCTGCTGCCGCCGGGGCAGTGGCCGCTGGGGG